CCCCAAAACCCCAAAACCCCAAAACCCCGCAAAGAATAGAATACTGTATATGAATAAAAGATTTTGGATTAAGAATTCTTATCATTAAAAACATAAATTTATGAATATTATTACAGTGATGTATGGACATATATACATGTATTAGGTAATCAAATAGTCGAGACTATAGATTAGTGTTCCTTTATAATCTCTTGGTATTGGCAAAACTCAACAAGAGCACCTTAGAATGTCTGAAGAATTATACCAGCACTTTAAAGAACATTTTATTCGTTTATGCAATCGGATTCTTAAAGTATCAGATTGAATGTTTCCCTATTGATAATTCTGATTTCGGGATGCTTCTTTTCCATTAGTTTGATAGCCATGTAAACAGCTGAGGCTGCTATTTCTTAAGGCGAAAATTAGATGTTCAAACATGTGCATGAAATCAGATTTAGTAAACATAGATGAAGGCTGATGTCTAATAGTTTTGAACTTTAATTTTCTGATAGGATTCTTAATTGAGAAAGTTAATTTTACATCTTTCTGATTAAGTCATAGAAATTGACAATGGTCAAATTGAAATCGAGGACAGCAAGGATTTTAAATTCGAAAAGTCTAAAGTCAACAGGTGTGGCTGGTGATACAGATTAGAGAAGTCCAATTTTATTGGCAAGTTCAGAAACTTTAAAAGCTACTCTTTCCTGATACTTTGAGGCCAGACATAATATAGTTAATGCGACTAATCTGAGTTGATTTTAATCTCTTAAATTGAAGTCAAAAGACTCATTTTCTTTAGTCTCTGATAGAGTTACTTAATGAAGGAACCTTTTGAAAAGAATGATAGCGTGGAATATTGTATTAAGGGTAAAGTTGAATGTCTTCTTTAGTCTTAGATAAAGGTTAAAAATGTGGAATATTTAGCTTTTTAAAGAGTCAAGTTTCCTCTATTAGCTGTTCTCTAGTTATGATTGTTTATTACATTGGTCATATATTGATCTAGACAAATATGAATCTGATAAAGCGAGCTCTTTCTGATGATGAATTTTTTGAATCATTTTGAATTTTCTCAGCTTGTTAAGTTTACATTAGTGATTTTTGCACTTGATTTTCGCTAACTAGGTATAATTTTATTGATATTTTTATATAGCTTTTGTCTTCTAAGAACTTTTGTGGAGGGGGTTTGGCACCAAATAGAATGAGTGTCTGCTCAAATCGATCATTTTTCTCATAGCGGTTTATTTTTGAGTGTTCTCCAGAATTTATTAGGTTTCTAGAACAGTTTGTTTGATACAAAGTGAAATAGGCATTTAAAATATTAATAATTTACAAAATAATTCACAACTCTATTATATCACGGTCATTATTCACTACGTATTTATTCTGATCACTATATTAATTCTATTCTCCACTTAAGGGGTTTTGGGGTTTTGGGGTTTTGGGG